GTTTACATCTTTCACTCATTTTTCTATTGGATTGTTTGTTCTTTTCTTATTGGTTTACAAAACTTTTAAAATATCCTGGATAGACTGGGCGCGGTGGCTCATGCCTGTAATCCCAACACTTTGGGAGGCCAAGGCAGGTGGATCACCTGAGGTCAGGAGTTCGAGACTAGCCTGGCCAACATGGTGAAACCCCGTCTCTACTAAAAATACAATAATTAGCCAGGCGTGGTGGCAGGCGCCTATAATCCCAGCTACTCGGGAGGCTGAGGCAGGAGAATCGCTTGAACCCAGGAGGTGGAGGTTACAGTGAGCTGAGATTGTGCCATTGCACTCCAACCTGGGGGAAAAGAGTGAAACTCCCTCTCAAAAAAAGAAAAAAAAAAGGACAATGTCCTGGATACTAGTCATATAACATGTTATGAAAATATCCTCTTCTGGTTTCATTTATCTTTCTATTTTCTCTTTTTATTTTTATTTTATTTTAATTTATCTTTAGATAATTAGATATTCTTAACTTTAGCTCCAAATTAATTAATTTTTTCCTTTATGATTTTGGTTTTTGTAGTTTGCATCTAGTTTAAGAAATTCTTCCTAACCTCAAAGTCATAAAGATATTCTTGTATTTTGTCTTCCAAAAATTTTATAATTTTGTCTTTCACATTTAAGTTTTTAATTCACTTAAAGTTGATTTTTGTGTATGATGTAAAGCAGGGAACCCATTTTCATTTTTTAAGATTGAATAGCTAATTATTCTAGCACCAGTTAATGGAAAAGTACATCTTTTCCCCACTGATCTATAGTGTCAGTTCATCATAAATTGAAATTCTTAAACGTATGGACTTTCTCTTATTTTCCTGTGGTTTATTTATCTCATTATAATAGGCTTTTCACAGCTCTTGGTTTCCAACTTTTTCATTTTAAGGATGTTCGGCTCTTCTTGCTCTTTTGCCCTCTAATATAAATTTTGGAATCCTTTTATCAAGTTTTAAAATCTAGTCCGGGCACAGTGGCTCACGCTTGTAGTCCCAGCACTTTGGGAGGCTGAGGCAGGTGGATCAGTTGAGGTCAGGAGTTCGAGACTAGCCTGGCCAACATGGTGAAAACCCATCTCTATTGAAAATACAATAATTAGCCAGGCGTGGTGGCAGGCGCCTGTAGTCTCAGCTACTTGGGAGGCTGAGGCAAGAGAATCGCTTGAACTCAGGAGGTGGGGGTTGCAGTGAGCCGAGATTGTGTCAGTGCACTCCAGCCTAGGCAACAGATCGAGACTGTGTCAAAAAAAAAAAAAAAAAAAGCCACTAATAAGATTTTTGGAATTGCATTGAATCTGTAGATCGATTTAGGGGCAGTTGACATCTTTAAAATACTGAGCTTTCATAGTTAAGGACATAGTATATTTCTCAGTTTTCAAAGGTATTCTTTAATTTCTGTCACCCAGGATGGAGTGCAGTGGCACAGTGATAGCTTACTGTAACCTTGAACTCCCAGATTCAGGTGATCCTCCCGCCTGGTTGTCCTGAGTAGCAGGGACTACAGGTGTGAGCCACTATGCCTGCCTTCATAGACAGTATTCTTTAATTTCTTTCAAAAAAGATTTGTAATCTTTTCTTGGGATTTTATAAATCCTTGGTTAGCTTTATTCATAGGCATCTCATTTTTAATGCTATTATTATTATTATTTTTAATGCTATTATTAATGGTATCTTTGTTAAAAATTACTTTCTATGTTTGTTATATAATAGAAATACAATCAACTTCTATAACCTTGTTAAATTCATTAAACAATTCTCCTTTGGAGGACTTTTCCTCACTCAACAACCACTAAATTTATGGAGATCTATCTATAGATTTTTGGATGTGTTCTTCCTTTATAATCCTCTATTTCATATTTCATTACTTTTGCTATTTTGAGCTGACTGAATCCTTTGGTACAATGTTGAACAGAAGTGTCTTGTCCTGTTCAATACATGCTCTAGTCTTATTTCTGATCTTGAAGAGAATGCTTTCTAGTTCTATAATAACATATTCTATAGGATTTTGTTGTAAGTTCTGATGTCTAAAAATACTAAGATTTTTAAAAACCATGAATGGATGTCGAGTCTTTTCAAGCACTTTTTCTGCATTTATTGAGATTATCATGTGTTTTTCCCCTTTACTCTGTTAGTATGGTAAAGAATATTGATTTTATAATGGTAAGTCAACCTTGAATTCTTTGGATAAACACAATTTTGTCATAATCCACTATCTTTTTATATATTTCAAGATTTGGTTTGCTAATTTTAAAAAGGATTTTGCATTTTTGTTCAAGTACAAAATTTGCCTCAATTTTCTTTCTCATATTTTTGTCAGAAGATAATTGGCCCCAAGCTCTAAGTGTGATATTTAGTTAGTACAACTGGTATAGCCCGTGAGGCTGGTTATGGTTTACATCTTTCTGATTGGTAGTGGCATCCATTCTGAATCAACAGTTAATTACTTCGAGTATCACTCCTGTCCAGACCATACTGCAAAGGAATGCCAAGATTTAAAGTTTGGGTAGATGACAAAAATCCCCTAAAGGAAATTGGCAAGGAACATCCCAAATGGTAGGGGGGATATAGGGCAGTCATAAAAAAGAAGAGTTGCTGCAAGAGGGATTAAATAGTTGACTACAGTGAATACTAATTAGAGATCAAGTAAGATGAAAATTGAAAAGTATCATTTGATTTAATAACATGGAGGCCATAATGACCTCAGTAAGGGCAGTTTGAGAGGGTGATGGGCACCGAAGGTAAATTAGAAGTAGTTTAGCAGTGAAAAGGGCATCATCTTCCCAAAATGGTAGACTGAGCATATGGGCCTATCTTCTCTTCCAACACCCCAAAACCTAACTGGAAAACCATATAGAATGCCATGTGTACACCTGATTTTTTTTTTTTTCTTTTAAGATGGAGTCTTGCTCTGTCGCCCAGGCTGCAGTGCAGTGGCATGATCTTAGCTCACTGTAGCCTCCACCTTCTTGGTTCAAGCGATTCTCCTGCCTCAGCCTCTGTAGTAGCTGGGATTATAAGCGCCTGCCATCATACCTGGCTAATTTTTGTATTTTTAGTAGAGACAGGGTTCTGCCATCTTGGCCAGGCTGGTCTCGAACTCCTGACCTCACGTGATCCACTTGCCTCAGCCTCCCAAAGTGCTGGGATTACAGGCATGAGCCACCGTGCCCAGCCTATAGACCTGAAATTTTAACAAATTTCTCAAAAGTAGAAAGCATATAGATGGAAGAGAGTCAAGTTTTGTGGGCCCAGAAGTGTACACAGTTTGGGAAGTCCCCTTTAAGATAAATAATACAAATTGTAAATATGCAATTAGGTATAGGGCTTTGGAAGGGTAGGTGAGGAACCCTGAAGCTTCACTGGCTTCATGGTAAATCTGCCTCTAAGCAGATGGAACCTGATTGACAAGAGAACCCAAAGCCCAAATTATATCCTAGAGAAGACTGTTGCAGAGTAAGGAGCTCTCTGGACATGCTCCAGGCTCAGGGGCAAAAGATACAATAAGTGAGAGAGGGCCCAGGGCGGTCAGGGTGATTAATCTGGGAGCTACATTCAGAGCAGCTGTGTAGGTCAGTGCCTCCTGCTTCCCCTGCTTGAGCCACAAGCACTGCCAATTTATACAGAAGCCAGAGCAGCAAATGTGTGCTGGACAAGCAGGGCAGCGTCCCAGATAGGCGGGAGGACTGAGGAGCTACTGGTACACAGTACATGCCTACCTGAAATTACAGTGCTCCTCCCCAGCAATCACTAAAAATATCCCTCTGTAATCAGAGCCAACCCCCACAAAAAAGCAAGATTTTCAAAAAGCTAAGAAGTCAACACCATGAGAGGCTCTAAATTGAACAAATAGAATAATTTACTCTAAAAGAAAGAGCTAACATAGTAAACAGAGGAAGGGAAGAAACCATTCTTCAAACTATGTAACATGCAAAACTTCAAGTACATTGAATTAACAATAACAACAAAACTAAAAAATTCAAGATGTTCATTTGTTCATTCATTCAATAACAATTCATTCAGCACTCCCTACTAGTCTCACTACTATCAGGGACTATTCCAGATACTTGGGATTCATCAGTAGGTAAAGCAAAGTTTCCTGCCATATTACATTCTAGATGAGGTGAAGGAGAACAGATAAATATTATATTTAATAAATAAGTAAATTACATAGCAATTTAGTAATAAGTACTATGAGACAAAGAAAAAGAAAGATTTCTAGAAGGAGACAATAAAAATTTTCTAGTCACCCCTCCTCAAAGTAATTTAACGTTTAAAAAAAACTATTTTAGGAACTATTTTCATCTTCACATTTATTCATCCTCTGTTTTGTTATATCTAAAATAGGATATGTGGTAAGGGGTGGTATTAATGTCTTGGTATTAGCCACTACCTATTTATGCTTTTCTTAAGTTACCAAGAAGTTTCTGCCTGGAATAACTCAATAAATTGTTTTATTTTACTTTGTTTTATTTATTTATTTTCTGAGACAGAGTCTCACTCCTTCACCTAGGCTGGAGTCCAGTGGCGCCATCTTGGCTCACGACAACCTTTGTCTCTCGGGTTCAAGTGATTCTCGCACCTCAGCCTCCCGAGTAGCTGGGATTACAGGCATGCACTACCACGCCTGGCTAATTTTTGTATTTTTAGTAGAGATGGGGATTTCACCATGCTGGCCAGGCTGGTCTCGAACTCCTGACCTCAAGTGATCTGCCTGCCTCAGCCTCCCAAAGTGCTGGGATTACAGGCGTGAGCCACCATGACCGGCCAGAACTCAATAAATTTTAAGAACACTTAAAACATAGACATATCCTCCCGCTTACACCATACCCTCCCATGAGTGGAACATGGACATGAAGACTTAAGTTTACTAACTCAGTAGCAGTCAAACAGGACATACAAATTGTGTCACAAAATTCAACATAACTTTTTTAGACGTCTATTATTATCTTATTGTCCAATATACTCCAGTTGCACTCTGTATATGAAGAAGAGTTGCTTTGATGCTTGGAAAGAGCTGGAAATGTGAGTAAGTAAATGTACTACTTTTTGGCTGTGTTTTAGGCCCCACATTCTTCACTTAAGAGGTCAAGCATTGTTAAATGAAGCTGGGCAAAGACAATTAAAGGAAAGTCCTTTTCTAGTGCCCAGGCCTTCTTGAAAAAATGAAAACGAAAAAAACTTGAGGCTATAATGACCCTAACTGAGTTCATTCAGTTAACATTCATACAACAAATATGTTTTGAGCAGCTGAAACGTACCATACACTGTGCTAGGTGTGAGATAGACAGAGGTAAACAAAACAAACGAGATAATTTCTGCCCTTGTGTTTATTGTCCAGTAAGGAAGTGAAACATTAAAACAAATAAAACTACAAATAAATATATAATTATAAAATATATAAAGGTTCCAGAAAGGAAAAGAACAGGGTGTTAGGAGAGGGAATAACAGAAGTTGGGATAGAGACTTTGGAAGGGCTGGGGCATGGTTAAAGAAAGACTCTGAGTAATCATTCTTTTAACAAGCGTTATTACTGGTGAGTCAGAATAACACATTCAAATTACGTTTAGAAGTTGTTAATGTGCTAAAACAATGAGTCATAATATTTATCCAAGCCATATTTTAGAAGAAATAGTAACCTCACAGCAGAATGGTGACACGCAGTCAAAAGTCCAGTTAAATCTGAAAATTGTGTCTCTTCAGTGTCTTCCTTCTTTCTTCCTAGGCTTGCTAGCTAGCCAAATGAGCAGATCTGGCAAGCCATCCTTGTGCATGAAAGGTGGGTCCTTTTCTTTAACCATCTGGACCTGCCCTATTTATCCCGATCATTGACTCATTTCTATTGAGCCATGAATCATGCCTGGCATCTACTGCCATTCTGTAAGTGTTATGAGGATTTGGCGTTCTAAAAACATGCTGCCAGTCAGGCCATTTCTATGAAAGCATTCCCTAACATGGATGGAGGTTTAAGAGTATGGTTCCCCCTGACCCTCAAAAGTCTTCAGCATAGCTGGGTAAATTTAATACCTTTTCAGAAGCCAGCCTGATCCCTGCCTAATTTCTGAGTGGGTCATGCTGTTAAAGTCAGAGTGACGGTTACGGATTGTTTTTTTAGGCCTGCTGAGGCCATCCTGGCCATCTGAGTAAGGACAAAAACACTTCTGACAGAGAGTTTGGGCATTTGAATCATTCCATTTATCTCCTTCTGGCTATCCAATTGCTCATAGATGTTTCCACTCTCATTTTGGTAAGGACGAGAAATGTTCTCTAAAGAATTTAAATAATCCTATAATGTTTGTATAATGGAAAGTATTAGTTTTGAAATAGCTATTGATATTTGTTTTATCAAATTAATAGAGTTACATTGCTTTAAAAGCCAAATGTTATTAAAGAACAGACCATTTTCAACACTTTTTTGCAATTTTCTGTTTATTTACCGCTAGCTTCTAAATAACATGACAGTGGTTCAAACTTTTTGTTCTCAGGATCCCTTTACAATCTTAAAAATCAATGAGGCCCAAAGGAGGTTTTATGTGAATTGTAATATTTTATTTATTTATCATATTAGAATTTAAAACTGAAAAAATATTTTAAATATTTGTTTATTCATTTTTAAATAGTAATAATAAACGTGTTAACAAAAAATGTTATAAAAAATAACTGCATTTTCCAAAACGAACAAAAAACCATTTAGTGAGAAGAGTAGCATTGTTTTTCAATGTTTGCCTATCTCTTTAATATCTGGTTTAATGGAAGACAGCTGGATCCTCACATTGGCTTCTGCATCCAGTTTGTTGTATTATGTTGTTTGGGTTGAAGTAAATTTTTAAAAATCCAACCTTACACAGTTTTGTAGTCAGAAACAGGAGGAGTATTTTAATAGTCTTTTCAGGAAATTGTGGCTATTCTTGTTTGATACTATATTAAAATTAACTAGCAGTCGTTTTTGAAAGATTCGTTGCAATGTGAAATCTGAAACCACACCAATAAACTTTTGTACTCTGCTGTACTGAAACTTACTGGTCTGTCTTGAACTTTGAATGGATAATATCACGCATTGGTCATCAGGAAAATGAGTAATGCAGATCTTCCAAAAGGTGATACATTTTATTATATAATATTTTAAAATCACATTTGTTAATATCATCACTGATTTCATAAAAAATTATTTAAGTATTGGAAAACCATAAACTTACCGCGGAGGATACAAGTTTTCCAAACTTCTAATTTTCCCTTGAAACCTCAGATTTTTTCATTCCAACAAATACAGTCAGGTTTTTTTTTACTTGAAATGTCAGGTTTACTTCCTTCATTTTTGAGAAAATGTCTGCTGAATACCCAAGTTTGAATAACCACAATTTGTCTATCATTTGTTCTTTCAAGTTAAAATATTGTTTCATGCATTAAGCAGTTAGTTCAACCCTTAATGTCAACATCACACAAGTGTTCTTCCATATGCAACAGATTTTTATGCTATTAATACTTATGCTATTAATACTTCTCATTTTACCACCCAAATATTAAGAACACATGGTCTCAAGGTGGAGATTAATAAAAGTAATGATTTTTACTGCTTCATCAAGGACATTTTTTGGTGAAACGGAATTTTTCTTTTTCTTTCTTTTTTCTTTTTTTTTTTTTGGTGATGGAGTCTCTCTCACGTAGTGCAGGCTAGAGTGCAGTGCCGCGATTTTGGCTCATTGCAACCTCCGTGCCTCCTGGGTTCAAGCGATTCTCCTTCCTCAGTCTCCTGAGTAGCTGGGATTACAGGTGTGCGCCACCACGCCTAGCTAATTTTTGTATTTTTAGTAGAGTTGGGTTTTTTCCATGTTGGTCAGGCTGGTCTCGAACTCCTGACCTCAGGTGATCCACCCGCCTCAGCCTCCCAAAATGCTAGGATTACAGGCGTGAGCCACCCACCGCACCTGGCCTCTTTTTCTTTCTTCTTTCTTTTTTTAAACTGCAAGTGTGGTGGTAAATGCAATAACCACTAATCAGTTTTGCAACAGTGCTTTAATTTGTGTTGCTAAAGCACCAGCAGTTAGACCCACAGTGGCTTTTGCATCATCAGTGTAAATGTTAACACAATGAAAAGGCAAATAATATCTTTGTATTATATAAAACTGGTTCTGTCTTCACAGAAAGTGAGCTACACCTTCAGAACCACTGTGATATGCTTCTACCGCTATTGCTTGCTTGGTTTGCTGATGTTAGCTATTTCTGCTGACTTCCTATTCTGCAAGATGAAGGGTTAGCACCCCTTACACTAGCATTCCCCTTGCTCCTTTCTTTATCACTTCATTATAATCATCACACTGTGGTTTAGAAAACTGCTTACCATCCTGTTACTACCTAAGTATTGTTCACTCCCAAGCCTGGTAGGGTAAAGTGAATGTTTCTTTGCTCATACAAATCTTTATTTTGACCTTAAAGTGGATGACACTTTTTTTTTTTTAACGCTTAGTTCTGTTTTTCTATTGCAAATTTGTCTTAATTCGCCAACAGATTTGTGTAACTTCTCCTAAATATTCTCTCCCATGCAGTCTTAGGTGATCCATAAGGACCATGTTTCTCCCTAGAGAAATCCCTTTAGAAGCCCTTCCTCCTGCTCCAACATGGAGCAGCTGCTGGTTCAGCCTGCAACTCAGCTTTCATTTTGGGACATTCACTAATGGCTCAGAAAAGGAGAGGTGACCTAGTGGGGAGATCTAAAAGCTCATTTTCCAAATTTGTAACCAACCTCCCTGTTGTAAGCTCTGTATCTCTTCCCCCATTGTCAGCAACCTTGTGTCTCCAAATCCCAAAACTTTCTGGGGTTCTGCTGCACAAATTGGCTTCTTCTTTCACTAATATCCCCAAGTGGGCACTTGGTTTCCACATTTCTCAGATCTTCTGGCTCCTCAACCTTCTTTCCCCCTTCCAAGCGTTTTGAAGTCTTAGGTCTGCTATTGTCTCCACTTCCATTCTTTTTGTCCTTATGGTTTTGTACCTTTAAAAAATTATTTTATTCTCATTTTGGGGGCATTTCAGGAGGATAGTAAAGATAAATATATGTGATCCATATGTCATGTTTAATCGGACATCCAGTATTTGAATTTGGAGCTGCACACGCTCTGAGGATTTGTTTGTACAAGCTCCTTGTGGTCTTGGTAGTTTTATGCTTTGGGAGATTTATGAACCCATTTCAGCAGCTCTATGTACTGCTGCTGCCACAACAGAAATCAAAGGTTGCCATAGAACTTGATGAAGTAAATAACAAATACTTAGAAAATATTGACTATGAATTTTTTTCCATCATTCAATCTTTCGACAAACCCATCAAACACTTATTTTCTGAGTTCCTACCATGTTCCAGGGCGCTATTGTAGGTGCTGGCATTGTAGTGGTGAATAAGACCAATACGGTCCTCTCGTGCACTCTGCAATCTAGTGAAGGGAGCAAACCACAACAAAATAAACAAGTATATAAGACAATTTCAGATAGTAATAAATGTTATGAAGATAACAAAAGAGGGTAATGTGCTAGAGTGACTGAGGATAAGGGGGCTATATTGGGAAGAGGGTCAGGGAAGGCCTCTCTGAGAAGGCAACATTTCAGCTGAGATCTGACTCATGAGAAGGACCTATCTTTGTAAAGATCTGGGGGAGGAGGGTTTCAGGAAGTACCAAAATTCCAAAGTGGGGAAAAGCTTATGTGTTCACAGAATCAAAAGACCAATGTGGTTGGAACGTAGTGAAGGGAAGAGTGATGGGAGATGTGGTCCAGAAATCAGAGCTGGAAAGGCAAATTTGGATGTTGTCCCAAATAGAGGTAATAATTGAAATTATAGGATGGATAAGAAGGCCAAAGGAGAGAGTATATAGAAAACTATGGTAGGCACTGTGGATGCTTACAAGAGCATCTAAGACACTGTCTTTACCTTCAAAGAATTTACAACCTAGGAAACTGGACACATTTTCAAAATAGAAAATGATAAAAGAGTGCGTAATCAAGTATTTGCATGACATAGTATATGTTTTTTTTTTAGGTGAAGTTAGAAAACATAACAATTATTCAGAATTGATAGTAAAATATAGCTTTGTGGAGGAGGTGATATCTGAGCAGAAGTTTGATGAAAATAATAAAAGAGTGTGTAATCAAGTATTTGCATGACATAGTATATGTTTTTTTTTTTAGGTGAAGTTAGAAAACATAACAATTATTCAGAATTGATAGCAAAATATAGCTTTGTGGAGGAGGTGATATCTGAGCAGAATATTTGTAGTAGCTGAAAGGCAGAAAAAGAGAATCTCAGAGAGAAAAAACATGGGCAGACTTGAATGTTGGGGCGTGACCATGACATATTCATGGAATAATAAAGAATAGCTTGACTGTTGGGAAGTAGTTGAACAGGTGAGTTTTTTCAGTGTGCTTTAGAATCTTGCCTTCACCTAAAGGCAAGATGTGTGTGGTGACTCATTCCTATAATCCCAGCACTTTGGAAGGCCAAGGCAGATGAATTGCTTGAGCCCAGGAGTTCAAGACCAGCCTGGGCAACATAGCAAAACCCATATCTACTAAAAATACAAAAATTAGCCAGGTGTGGCAGCACGTGCCTGTGCTCCCAGCTACTTGGAAGGCTGAGGTGGGAGGATCACCTGAGTCCGGGGAGGTTGAGGCTGGAGTGAGCCATGATCATGCCACTGCACTTCAGGGCAACAGAGTGAGACCTTTCCCCCCCCTCCAAAAAAAAAAGGCCGGGCGTGGTGGCTCATGCCTGTAATCCCAGCACTTTGGGAGGCTGAGGCGGGTAGATCACAAGGTCAAGAGATCGAGACCATTCTGGTCAACATGGTGAAACCCTGTCTCTACTAAAAATACAAAAATTAGCTGGGCGTGGTGGTGTGCAGTGTGCACCTGTAGTCCCTGCTACTCAGGAGGCTGAGGCAGAAGAATCGCTTGAACCCAGGAGGCGGAGGTTGCGGTGAGCAGAGTTCGGACCACTACACTCTAACCTGGTGACAGAGCGAGACTCGGTCTCAAAAAAAAAAAAAAAAAAAAGAATCTTGCTGTATAAATGGTAGGAGGGAGAAGACGGATTTCAGCACTGAGTGGTTAGATCTAAATTACAGGAAAGATTAGCAACTGCCAGGGCTACTTAATTTTTGATACTTAGTAGTTATTATACCTCCCAGTTAATTACTTTTTATTAAATTGATTAACAGTTATTATTTCAAAAAATGAAAAAATGTAAAAGGGTACATTGAGCCAGGCCAGGCGTGGTGGCTCACACCTGTAATCCCAGCACCTCGGGAGGCCGAAGTGGGCGGATCATGAGGTCAGGAGTTCGAGACCAACCTGGCCTAAATGGCGAAACCCCATCTCTATTAAAAATACAAAAATTAGCTGGGCATGGTTGCAGGCGCCTGCAATCCCAGCTACTCGGGAGGCTGAGGCAGGAGAATCGCTTGAATCCAAGAGGCAGAGGTTGCAGTGAGCCGAGATCGCGCCATTGCACTCCAGCCTGGGTGACAGAGTGAGACTCCATCTCAAAAAACAAACAAACAAAAAAAAGGTACATTGAGCCATCTCACTCCTATCTGTCCTTATCCATCTTGTTTCCCTTTGCCCCTAATAGCCGCTTATGATTTGCATTTTATTCTTTCCAATTTTCTTTCTGCAAATGCAAACAACATGAACATATCTTATTTCTTGTCCCCCGTAAGGTCATATTCACAAGTATGGGGGTGGGGTAGAACTTCCACATATCTATGGCAGGACGACATAATGCAACCCGTAAACCCCATTTCTCACACAAGGCTAGCACCCTATATGCACTCTTTTGCACCTTACTGTTAAAATTCAATTATATATCTTGGGATTCTTTCCATGTTAGTACACAGTAATCATTCTCATCTTCTTTTTAGAGCAGCATAGCGTTCCGTTGTGTGGCAGCATCAGTCCCCTAAGGATGAATGCCTGAATCGTTTACAATGTTTTGCTGTTTGAATGAGTAGCCTATACATTCGTCATTTTGTACGTATGCAAGTGGATCTGTACAAGATTCCCACAAGTGGGATTGTTGGGTCCAAGGATATTTGCATCTGTAATTCTGGCAGTATTGGCAGACTTCTTTCGTAGGGTTTATGTCATTCACACTAGCAATGCATAAGAGTGGTCAAACATTTAGAATTTTGCCAATCTTCTACATGAAGAATGGAATTTCCATTTAATTTTAATGTCCATTTCTCTTATTATGCACCTCTACATTTTAAACATTATTTTATATAGTATTTTTGGTAAACTTTGGCCAGAAAACTAGGCTGTAATATAAATTTCTAACTTCAAGGATATAGAATTGAAAGAAAATATAGTAACCTATAGAAACATATTTAACTTGGGTTATTTGCCAGAGTTGGGCCACTCCTGGGAGAATATGGCCCCTCCTCCTTACTCTGATGGTTCAAGTAACAGAACAAATTAATTTTCATTTAGTTAGGTCAGATGAAACTTAATAGAAAGAAATGAGTGTCCTCAACTTTACGAACTTGTATTATCTTTTACATTCTCTCTACATAAGCTAATGTAGCACTTAATGCATATGATAGGAATCAGAAAGTCATTTTAGGAGAAGCCAAGTTCCGCATCAAAGACCCCGATCTTTGTACTTGGCTGTTCCTGCTTTCTCACCAGTTTTCTCAGTTGTACCATTCTTAACTGAAGCTACTTTCTAATTTCCTGAGTGTGGTGTCAATGCGGTTTGAATACTGCCAACTCTTCTCACTGTTATAAAAAAATAATGTTATAATGATGGGGGTTTTTTGTTGTTGGTTCTGACTTTAAATGAAGCTCATTTAAGAGAATATCTGGAGCTGTCAATGTTACTGTCTCGCATTTGGGTCATGTCCAATGACCATATTCTTTTCCCTGCAGGTGGTACTGTGAAGGCAAGGAGCTTGAAAATTCCCCAGACATTCACATCGTCCAGGCAGGAAATCTGCACTCACTGACCATTGCAGAAGCCTTTGAAGAGGACACAGGACGCTATTCCTGCTTTGCTTCTAACATCTATGGGACAGATTCAACTTCTGCTGAGATTTATATAGAAGGTATATGACACTTAATAGTAAGACATTTAGTTATACTAAATAAATAGTTATTGAGGGCCTCCTCTATCACACGCTATTCTAGACAATGAGGATACAGCAGTGAACCAAGTAGACAAAAACGCTTAGGCTCATTTACTGATGATTTACATTACATGATGGGAAAGACAGAAAATAAACAAGATAAACAAATAAAATATATGATATGATAGGTTTATATAAACACTGTGAAAGAAATAAAAAGCAAGAAAAAGAGATGGGAATAGCGCATGTGTGAATGTGGGAGGTGGAGGGGTGGGGAATGAGCCACAAGGTCCTTTGAGAGAAATTTACTCTAGGCAGAAAAATCAGCAAGTACAGTGGCCCTGAGGGTAGGAGTGTGCTTGTCTTAAGGTACAGGGATGAGCCAATGTGGCCAGGGTGGAGTGAGCAAGAAAGTAACAGAAGATGAGGTCGAAAGGTAAAACGGGGTGGAAGTGGAAGGAGGGAGGTAAGCAGACCACAAAAGTCCTTGTAGGTCATTGCAGGAACTTTGGTTTTGACCCTGAGGTAGATGAGAAGTTCTGGAGCATTCTGAGCAAAGACATAACATGATCTTAGTTTTTTTGTTTTGTTTTGTTTTTTAGACGGAGTCTCACTCTACTGCCCGGGCTGGAGTGCAGTGACACAATCTCGGCCCACTGCAACTTCCGCCTCCTGGGTTCAAATGATTCTCGTGCCTCAGCCTCCCAAGTAGCTGGGATTACAAGCGTGTGCCACCACACCTGGCTAATTTTTGTATTTTTAGTAGAGACGGGGTTTCACCATACTGGCCAGGCTGGTCTCAAACTCCTCACCTCTAGTGATCCGCCCACCTCAGCCTCCCAAAGTGCTGGGATTATAGGTGTGAGTCACTGCACCTGGACGATCTGACTTAACAGTCACTGTGGCTGCTGTTTGAGAATATACTGCAGGGAGTCAAGGGTAGATGCATGGATACCATTTGGGAACACTGGAAAGGCGTTTACATTGGCATCAAGTTTATATGATTAATTTGAGGTGAAAAAAATCAACTTATGCTCCTTTGTATCTACCTAAATTTGTGCTCCTATTTTATCTTATCCTCTGAATTTTGTCTGCAGATCATTCTTTAGCACCTTTTTTTTTAAAACCAATAATACTTTATGTATGCCTTGGTTTTAGCATTTAAACATATTATTATGGTATAGATGCCCATTTATCAACTAGATTGTAAGGCCAGGACTTATTTACATCTCCAATATGTATTTGTACAACGTACTTACATAGTACCAAGTACATAGTGAGTATTTGGTAAACATTTTTTGAATAAATACATGAATAGAAATGTGTTGTATGTGTATGTGTTTTTATCCTCACATTTTTGGAGTCCAATAAATACCTCCAGATTTAGCTGTGTTATATCTTCGTGGAATGCACTATCCTGAGAAGTAAATCCAGGATCAAAGCTCTGCTAACAGTGCTGAGATTCAATTGCTGGGTTTTTGTTTTTGTTTTTTCTTTGTGGCAAAAAGACTTTAAACACCCCCTCTCTCACGATGAAGGATGACTCGTTAATATTAGACTGAACGGAAGAGGATCCACCTACACCTACAGTGTTTGGAATCCAGTGTAATCCCTTCTTATATTCAATCTGTGTAGGCCAAGAGCAAGAGGACTTATGAACACCAGAGAATGTCTGCAAATACTGCTCTGTTAGGCCAAAGGCACCAGCAGGTGCTTTACATACAAGAACACTTAGAAGTTGGGTCAGTGGCCGAGCGCGGTGGCTCACATCTGTAATCCCAGCACTTTGGGAGGCCGAAACAGGCAGATCACGAGATCAGGAGATCGAGACCATCCTGGCTAACATGGTGAAACCCCGTCTCTACTGAAAATACAAAAAAAAATTAGCCGGGCATGGTGGCGGGCACCTGTGGTCACAGCTACTCCGGAGGCTGAGGCAGGAGAATGGCGTGAACCTGGGAGGCGGAGCTTGCAGTGAGCCGAGATGGCGCCACTGCACTCCAGCCTGGGTGACAGAGTGAGACTCTCTCAAAAAAGAAAAAAAGAAAAAAAAAAAAAGAAGTTGAGTCAGTTAATTTGAACACTAGCACTAACTAGACATGTGACCTTGAGCAATTACTTCAACTTCTTAGGGCCTGTTTCCTCGTTTGTTAAGTTGGGTGTTACTGTAGGGAATCACTGAGTTCATTTCTAAGATTCTGTAGGTATTCAGATATCTAGGAATCAGGTAAACAAATTATCATCTTAAAAATCTTATGTCGTGTTTAGGAACCAATTTAAGAAATTATCTTCTTAACAATCTTGTGTCTTGTTTTTATTTTTCCAGGGGTTTCTTCTTCTGACTCAGAAGGGGACCCTAACAAGGAAGAGATGAATCGGTAATTCTGATTTTCTGTCTTATAGCTTTAGCATCCTCAGATCAATTAATAGCTTAAAAAGAGCTATTAATTGGTTACTAGAACTTAAGGTGGGCGGCTCCAGGGTTTGACCACAAAATTAAATGAATAAATAAACAAATTGAGTGGATTTGAAGAAGACCCTACTTTTGCTTAAGTCTTGCCTAGCAGATTAATTTGAATCTTTCCAATTTACTCCCTACAGAGGATGAGCTCCTTAAGGACAGAAATCCTTTGTGTATGCCTACCTTGAAATGATAAGTTGCTTCTAGCTTTTGTGCAGATATGAACATTCATAACCAGAGTAAATGATCCCTCTTTGACCCCCTTCCTTTATCATTCTCATGGCCTTGAGTCAACTCCTTCTCTTCTGCCTTTTATGCCAACCACCTCCTTAGAGGGCTTTCTGTCTGCTTCTGCCTTTTTCTCTGTTTTACAGTGTCCAAACTACAACCAGTTATTCTCTAAAAGAGATCAAGATTCTGATCCTATTATTTTCCTGACTCAGAAAAAGATTATTATCTATGAGAAAACAAAAATCAAACACGAAACAAGCAGCAACATTTAAAAAAAATCTTAACATGGCGTACATACAAAGCCTTATTCAGTAGAGCATCAACCAAGTTTTTCTGTCCCCTCCTCCCTTCCCCACCTCAGGCTGTCTACATTGTTGACATCTCACCCAAGTCATGTATAGTTCCTCTTCACTCCTTCGTTCAAGCTATTCACTTTGCTAGGATTGCCCTATCTTCTCTGTCTAGCAAACTCTTATTTATCCTACAAAACCCAGTCTAAATGTTCTTTCTCTTTGAACTCTGTAATAAACTTCTCCCCTATTGCACAAGCATCACTCCTTCCTTGTGACTTCCATAATGTGTTACAAACCTAAGGGGTATGAATTTTGATCTATAAACTTAAGTAAGCAAGAAATATCCCATTTGTTTATTTGCACTAAATCTACTTGTAGTTGTTGGGATTTAGCCTCAGTGTATCATAGAGACTCAAATTAACTGTGACTTAAATGAAACAGATATTTATTTCATATTTACATACAAATCTGAATTTGGTGGGTAAAATGACTCCACATTCCACTAGGTTCCTGTCTGCTTCCTGTTTTCTGCTTTATCTCAGGCTGAGATGTTGCCCTCATCTTCTTAGGCTAAAATAGAAAGAAATAAAGGCTTGTCAGCCTTTTAAGGTCATCTGTCTTAAAATACATATACCACTATCCCAAATATCCCATAACCAGAAAGTACTCATGTGGCAACACCTAGCTGCAGTGAATGTGGGATATGTAGTCTTTATTTGGAGCAACCACGTAAAGAAATCAGGTATTCAATTATTGTAGAAGAAGAAAACAGATGCTTTGGACACACTGATTGGCTTTGCATCAGCACATCATTCTGTTTGAGACCAGATGATGCCTGGTTGGGGAAAACATTCAGTCTGGCATTGAGTGTCACTTTCCCCCTCACAGTTTTACAATGAGCCATAGAGAGAGAGAGCAGTTTTGGAGCAAGCACCATTCTAAACACATTACATGAATTATCTCATTTAATCCTCACAAAACCCTATGAGATAAGAATTTTGTATTACTTATTTGTTTGTTTTGAGACAGAGTGTTGTCTGTTGCCCAGGCTAGAGTGCTGTGGTGCAAGGTCAGTTCACTGCAACCTGTGCCACCCAGGTTCAAACGATTCTCCCACCTCAGCCCCCCAAGAAGCTGGAATTACAGGCGCACGCCACCATGCCTGGTTAATTTTTTTGTATTTTTAGTAGAGATGGGGTTTCGCCATATTGGCCAGGCTGGTCTCGAACTCTTGGCCTCAAGTGATCTACCCACTTCAACCTCCCAGAGTGCTAGTATTATAGGTGTGAGCCACCGTGCCCCCTACAGGAATTATTATTTCCCCATTTTAGAGATGAGGAAGTTGAGGCAAAAAGATATAACCCCTAGACCAAAGGAAAGCCCTCTGTCTTCAGTCATCTATCCATGGGTTACAGGTGAGAGACCCATGTCCCAAATTCCAAGTTCCCTTCAAGCCCAGAGCTTGTTGCTTTCTGACATGTGTAATTACTGATATCTTTAACAAGACTGGGAGTCCTTTACTGAGAGAGATGGCCTTCCCCTCTGGATGCAGTTTCTCCCTGGGGTCAGGTTCTCTGGCAAGATCCACAGACCTCTGTCTCTTCCATAGCAAAACTAAAATAATCTCCCCTCTGCAGCCTTCTCAAGAATACTTGCTGGCTGTCTTGCCCTTCAAATACTCTCTTTAATTTGTATAAACTTGAAGAGCTTGCTGACTTTATGCCATTTCTGCTTTTTGTCATGCCAAATTCTCAGAGGTTAAGTTTTATATATATGAGACCCTGTCTTGGATAAGAGGTATAGATTTACAAAACCTGGCCTCTTACTTGAAATGGGAGGGGGAGGGAAACTACCGAGGGTAACAACAAAACGAATCTCAAAAAATTACCTTCTGCACGTGGTTCCGTCACCGCATTTGTCTTGGATCTCAGTTAACTGTTAATATGTTTGACTCCCTGGCTACACTGAGAACAACGGCCCAAGGACAGGAATAGTGTCTTATTCATTTTCGTGTTTGCATTGCCTAACAAAGTGTGTAGCAAAAATGCCCTTGGTCAATGTTTGTAAAATATCATCAAACCAAGATTTTTATTACACTCACCTGTAAGCAGTGATGCCATTACTAGTTTTCCTAAAATAATTTTCACGAAGAGTGATAGGTCTGTTTTATAATCTGTATTTTAATAATTTCTCAGAATCCAGAAGCCAAATGAGGTGTCATCTCCTCCCACTACCTCTGCAGCCATTCCTCCGGCAGTACCCCAAGCCCAGCATTTGGTGGCCCAACGTGGTGTGGCAACCATCCAGCAGGTACAAGAATCTAAGTGAAACACAAGTGCCGTCCACTGTGACAGACAGGCATGGTGACCATGACCATCTTGCATGGCATGATCTGTGTTCTTCTCAGGTGCAACTCCATCATCAGGATAATCACCTTGTATTTCTGGTGTTTGAGAGCAGTGGTTCCTGTTGCTTTGGGAACATATTCTCGGGCTTCATAGGCAAATTTCTAAGGAAAAGAAATGCTTTACAAATTAGTCCCTGGCTTTTCAGCTTTCTAAAGGGTGCTGATTACATATGCAGTGAGCTGCCAGCTCTCAGACTGGCCTAGAACAAACACCCTATATCATAAAACCTGATTCGTTTCATGAAGCTGCAGAGAATTCCACTTTCTAAGATGAAGCAAGCATGTAGTTATTTTTTAGAAAACAGCAAAGGCTCTCATCCTTCAAGTTAATAATAGTGATATATGCTTATTGTAAAAACAATTTAAAAATACAGAAGTATGCCAGGTGTGGTGGCTCACACCTGTGATCTCAGCACTCTGGGAGACCAAAGTGGGAGGACTGCTTGAGTCCAGGAGTTTGAGACCAGTCTGGGCAACATAGCGAGACCCTATCTCTAAAAAAAAGAAAAAAAAATTAGCCAGGCCTAGTGGCATGCACCTATGGTCCCAGCTACTTGGGAGGCTGACATGAGAGGATCACTTGAGCCTGAGACGTCAAGGTGACAGTGACCTGTGATAGCATAGCTGCACTCCAGCCTGGGCAACAGAGTAAGACCCTGTCCTCCCACCCCCGCAAAAAATGTATTAAGTAAAAAGCTTAGTCAAGGTTCTATTCCAGTGCCTTCACTCCCCAGAGGTATCTCATGTTAGTAGTTTCTAGTGGGTAGTTCCAGGCATTGTCTATGCATATAGAATACATATATGTATGCATAGACTTTAAAACATATGAAGTCATACTACCTATACTTATAACATGTTATTGATATATTTTATATATATATATATATATTCTTTTCTATTTTTGAAAAAATTATTTGTAGAGATGAGGTCTCATTGTGTTGCCCAGGCTGATCTTGAACTCCTGGCCTCAAGCCATCCTCTCACCTCAGCCTTTCAAAGTGCTAGAATTACAGCTGTGAGCCACCATACCCAGCCTGATATAGTTCTTTATTGATGATCAATATATTTAAATATATCTATCTACAACCTCTTTGTAAAAATTATCCAACCCAGTTAGTAGTGCAGAGGAGTCAAGTTTTAGTTCTAATCCACTGGTCTTCAAACTGTGATCTTTGTAGCCCCAGGGGTTCTATGGAGCCTCTTTGGAGGTTTAGGGTTAATGCCATAGATCCATAGATGTATATGTGAAGGGGTGCCATGGGGATAGGCAGCACATATTTTATAGCCACCATGACCTAAAGAGAAATAGAGTCAGTTCAGTCTAAAATTTGATATTGTTAATTCTGCATCAGTTTTTTGCTTTGGGATGCATTTCATATGCCAAATTATATAGGTTTGTTATGTCTCACTGTCCATCTAATAATCTTAGTAACAATGCATCTACTGTTGGTTCCCTTCTACCAGTGTCAGAGCCCCACCAATTACTTGCAAGGATTGGATGGAAAACCTATCATTGCAGCTCCTGTGTTTACAAAGGTAATAAAAATATTACTGCTTTCTGTCATGGCTTTAAAGACACCACAGCACTCAAAGTTATAGGATACAAGATTTACTCATTTTTATCTCAGGATTTGGTCTTATATATGTACAGTATAGGGTTTGGGGTTGTTTTGGTAGTTACTACAGTACCGTTTCAAGTCCCAGATTTCTAATAACAGTTTTAGTAATGAGAGAAATGTCTTTCCCTCTTACCACACTGATCTCTGTGGCCATTACACAACTGTTCAACATAGGAGCCGCCCCTAGAGGTCAAGTGATAAATTTCTAGTCACATATTACTCCAAAGGTTTCTCTGAATTTTTAGAAAAATTCAATTACAGGTACTTGGCTTAGGTGCTCAAGGAGATGGAGTTAAATGCTCTTAGGGGGTTTAACATAAAGCCTCCCTCCCTCTAGGACAAAGAGCTTTCTTTTTCTATTCCATAGTATCAACTATTGAGGTGGCATCAAATTCTGAGTCTCATATTCTTTGTACTTAGCACTAGAAAATTTAGTCAAGCACATTCATTTACAAATGAAAAACCAAGGGAGGGCCAGAGAGGTGAAGCCGTGTAGCCAATGTCATAGATCCAGTTAGTGGCAAAATCAGGACTACAAACAAGTTCTCCCAATTCTCAGACTGTCAGACTGTGTTTATATGTTACCCAATCCAGTGAGTGTGAAGGTAAAAAAATTGAGTCACATTGGATTTTATGGTATTATGAAGACCAAATAGGCCGAATCTACGCCCGGATTTACAGTTTATTGTTTGTATGAACACCAAACTTAGGCCCAAATAGATTTTATCCTCTTTCAAGTATACTTTGGTTTAGAGCAGTGGTTCTCAATCATGGTTAATTTTGTCCTCCAGAGTCATTGGCAATGTCTGGAGACACTTTTGTTGTCACAATTCGGGGGTTGCGTTCCTGGCATCCAGGAATGGTGCTAAACATCCTATAACACATAGGATGACAGCTCCCCACAACAAAAATAGTCTAGCTCAAAATGTCAACAGTGTTGAAACTGAGAAATCCTGGTATGAGCAAAATGGGAAAAATGGGCTATTTTTCTAGTGAGTACTGATCCTTAAAGGAAGAGCTAAATCCACAACTTCTACAGAAGCATCTGTTTCATGGGAGTTCTGCTGTATCAGACTGATCATTCAAGATGGTTTTCCAAAACCCAGAGTGGAGTCTAGAGCGAACAAACCATATTTGCTAATATCCATATCAGTTAGGCAAACATTCTTACGTGAAACAAGAGGCCTCTCAATTTTTCAAGTTCATTTCATAACCTGCGTTTGAGATTTTAGCTTTACTATTTTCAAAGTCTTGAAGTAGGAGAGCAATATGTTGTGATTTGGCGGATGCAAGACTTTGATGAGGAGTTCTAGGTGGACCTTTATGTGGGGGGGTGTATGTGTGTTTGTAACACAGCTAAGAGAGCTACTTCTTATTGTCTCTTATCGTCATTGCTAAGTCATCTAACCTTAAAACAGGGATTAAGTGCCACAGACACTTTAATTTATCATGCCAGTTTGTCACACCTTAGAGACAGTGCTGACTCTTCAAAGGCAGCTAAACCACAAGATAGTTTATACTCAGGCTCAGCTAGTCTCCCCCTCTCTTCCCTTCCTCAACTCCGTCTGCCCAGACAGACAGGTGACATCAGAGGGATACCAGGTGATACAGCCACTCAATTTCAAATCTTCCTAGGTACTGATGTCTTCCGTGCATCTATGTCCATGAAAAGGGTCCAACTCTGTAAAATAGTTAGAAGAGATTTATTCTCAGCCAAATATGAATGACCATGGCCTGTGACAGAGCCCTCAGGAGATTCTGAGAACATGTGCCAAAGGTGGTCGGGGTACAGCTTGGTTTTATATCTTTAGGGAGACATGAGACATCTATCCGTACATGTAAGATGTACATTGATGTGGTCTGGAAAGGCAGGACAACTGGAAGTGAGGCCTTCCAAGTCAGAGGCAGATTCAAATTTTTTTTGATTGGCAATTGGTTGAAAGAGTTATTAACAATAGAAAGGAATGTCTGGATTAGGATAAGGGGTTGTAGAGACCAAGGTTTTATCATGCAGCTGAAGCCTCCAGGAGCAAGCTTCAGAGAATAGATTGTAAATTTTTTTTATCAGATCTTATCAGACTTACAGAATCTGTTCTATCAGTAATTCCAGGAGATATAATGAGGCATGTCCCCTTCCCATCATGACCTGAACTAGTTTTCAGGTTAGCTTCAGAATGCCCTTGCTGAGAGGAGAGGTCCATTCAGATGGTAGGGGGCAGGCAGGGGAGGGTGCGGAGCGGGTGTGCGCTAAGAATTTCATTTTTGGTTTACCCGTATCACCTAGAGCATACCTCTGGCACGTTCATCATGACAGTAAAGCTGTTTACCTTTCGATCTCTCCTGTTCACCTTGAAGACTGTCTCTAATATCTAGATAGGAGTCCATAGAGGCAGCAATAGGTAAAAAGTTGTTATTATTTTGAAAAGTCCAATAGGACTTTAACATTTATTTATTTATTTGTTTGCTTGTTTGTTTGTTTTTTGAGATGGAGTTTCATTCTTGTTGCCCAGGCTAAAGTGCAATGACGTGATCTCGGCTCACTGCAACCTCCGCCTCCCAGGTTTAAGCGATTCTCCTGCCTCAGCCTCCCAAGTAGCTGGAATTACAGGCCTCCACCACCATGCCCGGCTAATCTTTTGTATTTTTAGTAGACATTAGGTTTCACTATGTTGATCAGGCTGGTCTCAAACTGCTGACCTCAGATCCGCTCACCTCAGCCTCCCAAAGTGCTGGGATTACAAGCATGAGCCACTGTACCCAATTAACATTTATTTTATTTTATTTTATTTTAGACAGAGTCTCCCTCTGTCACCCAGGCTGGAATGCAGTGGCATGATCTTGGCTCAGTGCAACCTATACCTCCTGAGTTCAAGCGATTCTCATGTCTCAGCCTCCCGAATAGCTGAGACTATAGGTGTGTGCCATCACACCTGGCTAATTTTTGTATTTTTAGTAGAGACAGGGTTTCACCATGTTGCCCTGGCTGGTCTGGAACTCCGACCTCAGGTGATCTGCCCGCTCAGCCTCCCAAAGTGTTGGGATTACAGCCGTGAGCCACGGTACCCAGCCACATTTGTTCTTTACATTTAATTTTCATGAGCTGATTAGAGCTACAGATTGAGCTGCCTTTGTATGGCGACTCTGATTAGCTCCTTCTATTACTAATTAGATGCTCTGATTGGCAGATACATATACTTTTGATAAATGAAAATAGGAAAATGAATTAATCATTAACATATTTTGTTTGTGAGATAAAATCTCTAAAAGAAATAGCTTCATGGTGGGAAAATGGTCCTTAGTACACAGACCCAAACCGTGACGAGGTTTTCTCAGCCTCATCAGGATATGTGCTTTTGCCTCCATAAATGGGATAAGGATTGTTCAGGCATTGGGCACTAGGATAGGCAGTGGCTCAGATTCCAGAAAGACTTATCAGCAATGATGTGCTTGCGTTAGTTTCCGTCAGTGAGGGCAGGATTGAGGTCATAGTCACTGCCAGTGTCATTAGCAAATTTCTGAGTCAGAGCCACCAGTGATGGATGGTATCATGTGGCTATGAGCCATGATAACAGATGATTTGCATATGTTTGTTTGGCTTACTCCTGCTCTATTTACTTGTTTAGGGACTTCTGGCATTCCAGTCCCTATGACTCACTTTCTATACTGCCCAACAAAGCATTTCTTTGCCAGTGGTGGCAAGAAGCCACTTTTTTTTTTTTTTTAAAGAAACGCTTAGAGAGCAGAGTTTTATTTAACTCCTTCCTCTGCTGGTGACAGCGAAGTACTTATCTTCTTTTAAAAAAAGTTAAAATGAAAAGTGGGTTGCCCAGCAAAACAGTGGTAGAATTTGAGAGTGGACTACGGGATTCCAAAACTAGTTCACTACTCTACTCATAGGTGATGTTTTTAAACATACCTATGTTTTTAAATGCTCTTTAACTGTGGATAGAGATAGGTTATCCTCCATCCTCTACGCAGTATCAAAAATACTTTCGCTCTGTTTATGCGGGGAAAACAGCACTCACACTTCTTGAGTGTGAAGGGAGGTCGATGATCAAATTAGAATCTTACTCCTATCACTGCTCCCACCCTAGCAGCAGCTGCTCTGGCAGGCTTTCAAGGCTGCAGCAGCCCTGGCCTCAGCTGCTTCAGCAGTAATTTGAAGAGTGCAAGGGGGCAGGGGAAGTGAGAATTTGAAAAAGAGCACTTCATTATATAACAGCAAAGGCAGGAAACCCTGAAATAACTGGGCCAGTAGTGGAATCCAGATTTCTGGAGTTCATGGGCCCCTCTCCCCAGTCAATCAATTCTGGAGACTTTTCTTACTCAATGATTGCATGGGGCACTTGTGACAGTCAAGAGGCAAAAGAGCTTTCAATCAAACAGTTCTTTATCAGCACAAACCACTTTGATCTAACTCCATCCTAAAGCACTGTGCACTTGCAGCATCTTCCAAGGTGCAAAATTATCAACTAATTTAAAAACAAATAAAATGGCAAAATGAACCTTGTAGCTGACATCTTTTAACCAATAAGGCAGATGCTCTTTCTCAAGGATGTCCCAGCATTATGTTTGTGGTTATAGATCTACTATGCAAGAACTATATCCTTTCAACTCACATTTATAGCAGTGGGCATGGTGCTTGGCACAAAGCAGGCACACATTTATTCTGTGACAAATAACTTCCACTTCAGGCGAGGCACGGTGGCTCACAACTGTAATTCCAGCACTCTGGGAGGTTGAGGCAGGAGGATCACTTGAGGCCAAGAGTTCGAGACCAACCTGACCAAGATGACGAAACCCTGTCTCTAACTAAAAACACAAAAATTAGCCGGGCGTGGTCGCACTCACCTATGGTCCAGCTACTTGGGAGGTTGAGGCAGGAGAATCACTTGAACCCAGGAAGTGGAGGCTGCAGTGACCTGAGATCATACCACTGCACTCCAGCCTGGGTGACAGAGCGAGACTCCATCTCAAAAAACAAAACAAAACAAAAAAACCCTTCCGTTTCAGCTAAGAAGAAATTATTATTTTCATTACTTTGTGACTTCAGAGTGTCTTTAGGAAGAATAGAGAAAAAAAGTAAAATGTCAAATGGCCATGGAAGAAGACATGCTTCCCAAGTCTCTGTGTTGTCAAGTCACCCTACAAAGAATGTCCTCCCAGATGACCAGTTTAGTGATGACACACAAGATAGATTTGCACTTTGAATACTGCATACCTGAGGAAGTTGTAGATCTTTGGTTATAATGACTTTAGTCCAGATTCATAATTCCTAGAAAAGACTAACTTAATCTTTGCTAGTTGGAGACTGTTTGTCTCATTTGTTGTCAGTGAAGCTGAAATGAATATGATCAAGTCTGTACACCCCATGCCATTAGTAACAAACAGCCTAAGACCTACTGCCATGATGAACGTGATGTCAGCTACACTATGTTCTAATAGTGTAACTGGTTTGGATCCTGATCTGTGGCAATATGAGCCAGCTCTTTCTCATGAAACTTTGTAGAAAAGCAGCTTTCAGCAATAACAACCATCATCATCCTTATAACTATGACTCTTAACAGTTTTCTAAGTGGCTTGTGAGATGACCCTCTGTTAAGAGTCATAGTTTTCATTCCTTCTTGAGGCAAACCAGTTAGAAAACCAAACCAAACACCAAAAAGGTGGTGGTGGCAGAAGGGGTTGAGTAAATGAAACAGTACATTCACAGTAGAATGAGGTCAATCTAATATGCTCTGACATGGCCTAAAGTTCAGCTCAGATGTATGAGCCAGTTCTCAATCTGCAGAGGTTACACGAAAGCCCTGCTTGAAAAGGATCTCTTTGAGAAAATATGGTGCTCACAATTTAAACCATCAGTTGGTTGTTATTCATTTGACATCAAAGGCCAAGACTTGTGTCCTATTCACGAGCCCAGCCTAGTTATGTGAGATACTACAGTGTATGGAGTGGGCCTCCTAATGTCTGTGATGGAAGCTCATTCCAGTGTGGCACATCATCAATGCTCAGTAAAGGAATGAAAACTTTATTGTGTATAAGCTCCAGGAAAGTGTCTAAGTGCCATTAAAGTTTTCAATGGGTCCCAAAGCTCCCATTTGAGCACACAATTTGCTCAGAGGTCAGTGTGGAGGACATACTCACCAGTTTGCCGGGAGCACCCAAAATTCACTGATGTTTCCTGTTTTCCGTTCTTGTCATTAGTAGATGTTTTGGGAAGACAAAGAATAATTAAATTTTTTGGTCAAATAGTTCTTTATTAATTCAGAAACCACTCGGTGCTAATCCCATCCTGAATTACTTCAGCAAACAAATTTGGGACCTCAGAAAGAACAAAACACTAGCATTGAACTACAGCGCCCCCTGGCTGTCACAATTATCAATGCATAACACCCCTGCGGTGAAAGTCTCTTACGCAGCTAATGCTATGTGGTTTTCCCCAGCCCCATATTCTCCTTAGACAAATGCTATTAAGTACGACAGGACCAAGTACAGAATATCATAAGTTGTTCAGACAAGAACTGTAAAAAATAACGAAATATTTGTAACAGCGAATGACAAAAGAGAAAAAACGGTTGACTTTCCCCTTCTCTGAAGCAAGAGCCAGTATTTCCTAAAAGCAGGTCCAAAAATTGTAATAATAGAAAGCCATGCAGCATTTGTTGCTTACAGAGTTTTTGGAGGAAGTTTAATTATAACCTTTTTATGCTTACAGTCTTTGGGCCAAATGAAAAACAAAAATATGCCAATACATGTGCCAAAGAAGCATTTCATAATCACATGAATTGCCAACTACAGAAAAGAATGTATGGTTTTCAGCTCACAAATCATGACGAATAAGAAACTAGTTGTGAAAAAATGTGCATTTTATTATCTTCTAGAGTCTAGTATAGTATACAGTGATATCTTACAATTCAAAGTGGTCTCCGTAAACCTTTTATTGTGGGAGTGTGGAAAAGCATTTAATGATTCCTTTGCAAATTTACAACATATTTTACAATGACATATGACTGTATGTGTGACTAGGATTTTATAAAGACTGTGATTGTTTTTATTCCACAACGGATTAGTGAGGCTATCCTGTAAAGACCACTTAAGGAAATCAAAACGGCAAACTGAAAATCAATTTCCAGGACTGCAGAATGTAAACAAGGCAAAGCTAGGAAGACAGAACCAGTTACTTGGGCCATATAACCCTTCCATATTATGAGCAGCCACATTCTTTTGTGGACTAATACATCACTCCTATGTTGAACACATCTAGTAGATACTCACTGCAGATTTAAAGATTATTATTATTTCTAGAAATCAAACACAACTTGGGCATTTAAGAACAGAGGTACTGAGGCCGGGTGCGGCAGCTCAAGCCTGTAATCCCAGCACTTTGGGAGGCCAAGGCGGGTGGATCGCTTGAGCCCAGAAGTTCGACACCAGACTGGGCAACACGGCAAAACCTTGTCTCTATCAAAAAAAAAAAAAAAAATTCCGGGCGTGGTGACCTGTGCCTTTAGTCCCAACTATTCAGGAGGCTGAGGTGAGAGGATCGCTTGAGCCTGGGAGGTTGAAGCTGCAGTTAGCAATGATCACAACGCTGCACAACAGCCTGGGAAAGAGAGTGAGACCCTGTCTCAGAAAAAAAAACCAAAAAACCCCGCCAAAAAAAAAAAAAAAAACCCAAACCAAAACAACAACAAAAAACCACCTCAAAGATACTGTATTAAAAGTAGCTACATTACTCAAAATGTCTTGCCTAATATTTAATAAATTTACTTAGCATTGATAGAGAGAGAAAGGAAAACAATAGTGAGGGAAAAGCTTTATATGGGTTCAGATAATTCTGTCTTCAAACCTACTTTCGGGATGTGAGGGTGATCTGGCTGCGACATCTGTCACCCCATTGACAGTCAGAATTAATTCAGCTGATCTGGCAGGCTATGCGGGTGTCCTCTTCCTCCCTCCCTGCTCCATGTGCATCCCTCCTGAAGCTGTGCACTCAGTGGAAGAAGATGACCATACCTGATATAGGAGGACCGGTCTTCGGTCAGGGACATAGGAGTAGCCGCGCTCCCCTGCTAGAACCTCCAAACAAGCTCTCAAAACTACTTTTGAATGCACATCCACAGAACTGAAGCTGCTAGAGATGTAGATGCTTTGGAGAAAAATCCAGATTTGGAGATGGCATCTTTTTCTAAAATTCAACGCTGGGACTAGATTACAAAAATGTGTACTTTTTGGTTCTAACTACATTCTTCTTATCATTATAGATGCTACAAAATTTGTCAGCTTCTGAGGGTCAGCTGGTTGTCTTTGAATGCAGAGTAAAAGGAGCTCCATCTCCTAAGGTTGAGTGGTATAGAGAAGGGACTTTAATAGAAGATTCTCCAGATTTTAGGATTTTACAGAAAAGTAAGTTAATTTAAATTATTTTCTGATATTTTATTTTTATGAAATTATTGTATGCACTTATTTTTGTAACTTTTTAACAACTAACTAAAAATATAATCAAAAGAATAAAATAAAAAACACCTGTAGTCATACTCCTGTTAATATTTCAGTGTATGTTCTCCAAGAAATTTTCCATGCATAGTTTTTAGAGAAAATCATCGTATTCTTTTTTTGTAAATTGATTATTTACTCAACATTTAATGAATGCCTTTCAATGTCAATAAACACAGAACCTCCTTACTTTTTTTTTTTTTAGATGAAATCTCACTCTGTCACCCAGGCTGGAGTGCAGTGGTGCGATCTCGGCTCACTGCAACCTCCACCTCCTCGGTTCAAGCGATTCTCCCGCCTCAGCCTCCCCAGTAGCTGTGAATATCTACAGTTACTACCCTGGAATAAATTTCTAGCACGAGAATTGCTGCTGTAAATTTACCTTTTTAAGGCTTTTAAAATATGTTGCCAAAATGCCACCCCAAAGGGTTGAACTAAATTTAGTATGATCACACAATTAATCAGTCGAACTGAGACCCTTTGGGGCAGTGAAAGAGGATGCTATTAATAATTATGCAGGGATCCCAGGCATAAACTAGGTCTGTCCCAGTTGAACTGGGACACACGTCGCCCTAGCTATATCCTACTACAACCAACAATACATGGGAATGCCTTTCGTCTCACACCTTCACCAACAATGAGTGTTAACCATTTTATTAAAAATCTTCACTAACTTTACAGGCCAAAAATGGGAACAATTGTTTTAATCTGCACTTCACTAATTAAATCTGGGATTAAACTTTTCTTTTTCATGTTTACTTAGGTCTTTGTATTTCTTTATTTCACATTGGGTTCTTGCTCTTTTTTATTGTAAGAATTATTTAGAAATTTACATGGTTAGTTCTTCTTTTCTTATCGCACCATGCTTTCACCTTGTCATGCAGTGCTTTCTCCTTGACCCATTTCAGCCATAAACTACATTGCAACATACTTGCTTTTAAAAAAATATGTTTTATTAACTATGTAGAACAATCTATTATAGAAAAACTTGGGAAAGAAATTTGCTAAAATGTTGGCAGTCTTTCTCTGGGCAGTGAGTCTAGGGTCGATTGTTTTACTTCCTTTTGCATTTCTGTATTTTTTTAGTTTCTCCATAATGAACATGTATAACTTTTGTTTATTTATTTTTTTTTACATTGAATAATAAAAATTTTACAATTTACCATGTACAACATGATGTTTTGAAATATATATACATTGTGGAATGGCTAAGTTGAGCTAATGAACATATGTATTACCTCACACACATCATTTTTTGTGGTGAGTTACTTGCTTTTTTCTTAATCTTTTTCTGCCTATCACAAAATAGTAGTCCTTAGATCAGTGTGACATAGGAATCAGTGCTACTGTCAGGTTTTACTGGCAGTAGCAGCAACAATAATATATTCTGAATACCATTTAAACTGAGAGATGCCAGGCACAGTGGCTTATACCTGTAATCCCAGGCCTTTGGGAGGCCAAGGCAGACGGATCATTTGAGGTCAGTAGTTTGAGACCAGCCTGGCCAACATGGTGAAACCCTGTTTCTACTGAAAACAAAACAAAACAAAACAAACAAACAAACAAAAAAAAACACAAACTCAGCCGGGTGTGGTGACATGCACCTGTAGTCCCAGCTACTCTGAAGGTTGAGGCAGGAGAATCACTTGAACCCAGGAGACAGAGTTGCAGTGAGCTGAGGTCGCGCCACTGCATTCCAGCCTGAGCAACAGAGTGAGACCTTATCTCAAAACAAAACAAAACAAACAAACAAAAAGCAAACAAACAAAAAAAAACAGAGAGAGAAAAAATCTTCAATGGGTTTACCAGTGAAGTAGATTAAAACTAAATTCAACAACTACTTTTTGAGTGTTGGCAATTCAATATCAATCAAACACCTATGTTTAGTACCACCGGGGGCATTTTCATGAAGCCCAAAGAATTTTAAGGTAAGAACCTACTCCTGGCTGGGCATGGTGGCTCACACCTTTTAATCCCAGCACTTTGGGAGGCCGAGGCAGGCGGATCACGTGAGGCCAGAAGTTTGAGACCAGCCTGGCCAATATGGTGAAACCCCATCTCTACTAAAAATACAAAAATGAGCCAAGTGTGGTGACAGGCACCTGTAGTCCTAGTTACTCAGGAGCCTGAGGCAGGAGAATCACTTGAATCCAGGAGGCGGAGGTTGCAGTGAGCCAAGATCTTGCCATTGTACTCCAGCCTGGGCAACAAAGCGAGACTTTATCTCAAAAAAAAAACCTACTCTTGAAAAAGCTGTGATCTATCCTGAGGCTCTTAATCTTAGAAACCTCAAAGCAGGAGGTATAGTGTACATTTTATTAGAATATCAGAGCCCAAAGCCAAGAACAATCTCTCAATCTTCACAAACCTTTTCCAGGTAAGGCTGAATGAGTGCCAATAAAAGCAAGTCATTTCTGAAATAGAGCTAACTCGGAAACTTCCTTGGCTAAGGTTTATGTACTCCAAGTGAAGCCCAGATTTATTTCAAGAGGAAGCAATATCATTTAATTGTTGCTGTTGGGCAAGGCGTGGTGGCTTATGCCTGTAATCCCAGCACTTTGGGAGGCTGAGGCAGGCAGATCACCTGAGGTCAGGAGTTCGAGACTAGCCTGGTCAACACAATGAAACCCTGTCTCTACTAAAAATACAAAAATGAGCCTGTTGTGGTGGCACATGCCTGTAATTCCAGCTACTTGGGAGGCTAAAGCAGGAGAATTGCTTGAACCCAGGAGGCAGAGGTTGCAGTGAGACAAGATCGTGCCATTGCACTCGAGCCTGGGCAACAAGAGTGAAACTCAGTCTCAAAAAAAAAAAAAAACAAAAAAAACCAGTTTTTGTTCTTTTGCTGCCTTTCTGTAATATCCATCCTACCCTGTTAAGGTCATCTTACTCAATATTGTCACATAATCTTATTGTATCACTCCTGAGTGTGCAAGAGACTGTGAAATTCTACAGGAGGCTTCTGATGAACATGTAGTTTCTCAGTAAAATAAATGCTCAGAATCTTTTACTTTTCTTTTTCTTTTAGAACCTCGATCCATGGCAGAGCCAGGTAAAGATGATTTCAACTTTAATTCATTAGTATATGAGTGATTTTATATATGTAAGAATGCATAATGAAGTTACACTGAGATGAATAAAAAGTGAAAAATAAAGTTTTAGGAAAAATACAAAAATTAGCCAGGCATGGTGGTGCATGTCTGTAATCCCAGTTACTTGGGAGGCTGAAGCAGGAGAATCGCTTGAGCTTGGGAGGTGGAGGTTGCAGTGAGCCAAGATTGTGACACTACAATCCAGCCCGGGTGACAGAACAAGCGTCTGTTCTAAAAAAAAAAAAAAAAAAAAAAAGCCATCCAAATGAACTATAGCTATTATTGTAGGAGGAGAGGAGGGGACCATGTGCAAATCTGGAATATATATTTAATACCTCATATGAATGCAGTTGGTTCTTGGTCATTGAGAAGTGTTTCTTGGTTATTGAGAAGTGTTTCTTTTCCTCCATAAATGGCCGCCATTTGAGCCCCCTCAAAACTAGGCAAAGCAATTTTTATAATGCTAGGTGAATTTCAGTTCCATAGCCTAGGTATTTCAAAACTTATGCATCATCAGATTTTGCAGCTTGCAGAGATTCGGTAAAATATCTGTGATGTGATTCGATTTAGTTGGGAGGATACTAAGATGAAATACAAGTGACAGTAGGCGAACTTAGAAAGTTCAAGTCACTCACAAAACAGGGCAAAAACATCCGAAGGCCCTCTCTGTGCCACGCAGAAAAATCAGATTGTATTTGCAACCCTGTTAGAGAAAGCTGGTTTGTGATCTCATTACTATAATTCTCTCTTCAGGCTGGGCATAGTGGCCCACGCCTGTAATTCCAGCACTTTGGGAGGCTGAGACGGGTGGATCACCTGAGGTTGGGAGTTTGAGACCAGCCTGGCCAACATACATACAACCCCATCTCTACTAAATTTACAAAAATTAGCCGGGCTAGGATTTTTAAGGGTTTTGGAGTGGACTGAAGAGCGGAGATCACTGGTTGGTTGAGAAGTGCAGGGTGAAGTCATGGGACGGGGAGATGAAGAAGCCATGTTCTCATTGCTAATCTCGATCCTCTGTGGGGGTCTTCAAACTAGTTGCTGGAATTCATGGTCTGAAAAAATGTCTTAAGAGATCCTTAAACAAAAGCCTTATGAGGCTGGGCACAGTAGCTCACACCTGTGATCCCAACACTTTGGTGGGAGGACCGCTTGAGCACACAAGTTAAAGACCAGCCTGGGCAATATAGTGAGACTCCCACCTCTACAAAAACTTAAAAATTAGCCAGGCATGGTGGTGTTTATGTCTGTGGTCCCAGCTACTCAGGAGGCTCAGGTGGGAGGATCACTCAAACCTGGGAGGTAGAGGCTGCAGTGAGCCGAAATTATGCCTCTACACTCCAGCCTGGGCAACAGAGCAAGACCTTGTCTCAAAAAAAATAGAAGCCTTACGATTCTAACGTGAGAAATCCTGTCTATAGAGGCTGGGCACAGTGGGTCACGCCTGTAATCCCAGCACTTTGGGAGGCCGAGGCAGGCAGATCATGATGTCAGGGGATCAAGACCATCCTGGCTGACATGGTGAAACCCCATCTCTACTTAAAAAAATTCAAAAAATTAGCCAGGCGTGGTGGCTGGTGCCTGTAGTCCCGGCTACTCGGGAGGCTGAGGCGAGAGAATGGTGTGAACCTGGGAGGCAGAGCTTGCAGTGAGTCAAGATCATGCCACTGCACTCCAGCCTGGGCGACAGAGCGAGACTCCATCTCAAAAAAATAAATAAATAAATAAATAAAATCCTGTCTATAGGAACAATGGGGATGCAAATCAATTCTTAAATAGTCTTATGATCCTAATGTCAGAAATCCTATCTATAGGAACAAGTGGATGCAGAAGGTCAGGATCTAGTGCTGTATGACTTTAAGTGACAAAGAAAGTGGGTCAAAGTGCAGGCTGATTAATGCTTAACTATATTTCTGTCCCGAACCGAGCATGCAATTCTTGTCAACCCTGTGGTGATGGTTTCAATATCACACTGACTGGAATTGTGTGTCTCAACTACCACTTAATAAGAATAGAGTTAGCTTGACTGGCTTAGACCAGTCATGATTTACCACCTGAGGCTGAGAGGGGCCAGCTTTCTTCGAAACATATGACCACTCCAAGTAGAGTAGACAACGCCAAAGGTCTATCAACAAGGAGGTAGGAGGAGGAAGAGTTACTGAGTAGGTACTTGCCTTGGTCCACTGTGTGCTGCTGTAACAGAATACCTGAAACTAGGTGATTTTTAATAAGGAACAGGGATTTATTTCTTACAGTTCTGGAGGCTGGAATGCCCAAGATCAAGGGGCCTGCATCTGGTGAGGGCCTTCATGCTGTGTCATTCCATGGCAGAAGGCAGAAGGGCAAGCAAGCAAGTGCACAAGAGAAGGGAGGGAGAGAGGGGGCCACTCTTACTTTCATGACGAATCCACTCCTATGATAACAACATTTATCCATTTATTAGGGCAGAGGCATCATGACGTAAATACCTCCCTTTAGGCTCCACATCCCAACACTGAAACACTGGGAATTGTTTCCAGCACATGAATATTGAGGGACACGTTCAAACAGCAATACTCAATACTGCCTGCCATGCCCCCCTGGCCAGATTTCCTAGAAATGGTCTAGTTAATTCAATTCAATTATCGTGAAGCACTGAGATGCCTGCCAAGTTTCTCCTAATGCAACTATTTTTTAATAATTTTGTTTTTAATGTCATTTCTATGGAGTGATAACTGGAGGTTTATGCTACTGTCTTATACCTCCTCTTTATTAGCTGTCAAGGAATATCTAACTTTAATAATTTTGGATGGTAGTCATGTGGTTCTATGTGGGAATCACCTCTGTAGTTATTCACAGAGGATCATTGTTCACAGTGTATCAGAGTAATCCATAAGATTTACCATAGTAATACAAAAGTAGAAATGCCGTTTACTCTTCTTTCACCCAGAATTTCAAGTTACTCTATCAGTTCATTACTACTAGTAAAGCAAAATATTTGCTGTCCAATTTTAAATTGTGGTCCTTTTTTAAAATAATCTTACTGCAAAAGTTCCCCAGGGAAATAGTGAGAGACCTAGGTTTAGAAAATGTTTTATTAGTTCTTTAATTTCACAGAAATTTCCTTTTCCTTTGACTCCTAGTTTGTTTTTGTGATTTTTAAAAAGTTTATTGTCATTCATTTCTATTTTTGCCATCTGTACTGACGACATAAGAATAGAAGATTATCTGAGAATCCATAATATGTAACAATTTTTACAAAATCCCCTTGTCAGGTCGGGTGTGGTGGCTCACGCCTGTAATCCCAGCACTTTGGGAGGCCGAGGCAGGCAGATCATTTGAAGTCAGGAGTTCAAGACCAGCCTGTCAACATGGTGAAACCCCATCTCTACTAAAAAGACAAAAATTAGCAGTTGGCACACGCCTGTAATCCCAGCTACTCGGGAGGCTGAGGCAGGAGAATCGCTTGAACCTGGGAAGTGAAGGATGCAGTGAGCCGAGATCTTGCCACTGTCCTCCAGCCTGGGTGACAGAGCGAGACCCCGTCTATAAAAAAAAAAAAAAATTCCCCCTATCAATACTAGGCCTGTCTGCATGGTGTTATTGTTCCTACATTCTTTGACTCATTTTGCCTACTAATCAGTCAATTCAATCAAATAATTGTTTTGACCAATTGTTTTCAAAGAATTAATATAACCAGCTTCTTATATTGACTTTGTAGAATCATCATCTGATACCAGTAAATTCTATAATTCTATTTTCATAATCAAGTCAGTAACCATTCTGTTTCACTGGCATATAGAGGAGATTTGCACCTTGGTCATTGCTGAGGTGTTTGCAGAAGATTCTGGGTGCTTCACATGTACTGCAAGCAACAAATATGGGACAGTGTCAAGCATTGCACAGCTGCATGTGAGAGGTAAGGACCCTTTAATGCCAGAACAGTTTAGCCTGTGACTTTGAGTGTGAATATGCAGACTTTGTGTTACCATTCCTTACTGTTTTTCATACGAAGCTGGCTTGGCTCTCCCAAAAAGATTTGAATTATTGAGGAAAATGTTCTTGAACAGTGTCCAATTTTCAATTTCTTATTGCACTTACAGCCACCACCCCAGTTACCCTGCTGTCGTCATTGTATTTCCTGAGAGAACATCTCCTCAATAAATTTCTAAATTTCTTTCCAAAGGGGTATTTATACTTTAAATTTAGTATTTTATTTTTAATTTAATTTTTTTCCTGTATCCTTACCATTCTTTAATGCCCCGATGATGATCTGTTTTTGACAAGCATTTCCCATTCATACATTCATCTGGTGTGAACACTTTTCCATTTGTGCACATGCCCCAGTTCAGGCTTACAGTGGCTGACAACTCAGGTCCTGTTATTGTCCTTTCAGGAAATGAGGACCTCAGCAACAACGGGTCTCTTCACTCAGCCAACTCCACCACCAACCTGGCTGCTATTGAGCCACAGCCCTCCCCACCCCACTCAGAGCCTCCATCTGTGGAACAACCCCCCAAACCCAAACTCGAGGGAGTTCTGGTGAACCACAATGAGCCCCGGTCCAGCTCCAGGATTGGGCTTCGTGTGCACTTCAACCTGCCTGAAGATGACAAAGGAAGTGAAGCATCCTCCGAGGCTGGCGTGGTGACCACCAGACAGACCAGGCCCGATTCTTTCCAGGAGAGGTTCAACGGACAGGCAACAAAAATCCCAGAGCCTTCTTCCCCCGTCAAAGAGCCCCCTCCAGTTCTGGCCAAACCCAAACTGTAAGTAAAAAGTAGGATGAATAACCAGGAGCTTCTGTGATCTTTTCTTGAGTCTGATCTTAAAAGTAATGGAACTCAGCTAGGCACAGTTGCTCACACCTGTAATCCTAGCACTTTGGGAGACCGAGGCAGGAGGATCGCTTGAGCCCAGGAATTTGAGACCAGCCTGGGAAAAATAGTGAGACCCCTGTCTCTAAAAGAAAAAATTTAAAGTAAAAAAATTAGCAGGCATGGTGGTGCCTAGTTATAGTCCTAGCTACTTGGGAGACAGAGGCAGGAGGATCACTTGAGTCTAGGAGTTTCAGGCTACAGTGAGCTGTGATTGTGCCACTGTACCCCAGCCTGGGTGACAGAGCAAGACTTGTCCAGGAAAAAAAAAAAAAAAAAAGATGGAACCAAAAAGGGGAATTCCCAAATAAGAAAATACACATTAAATGTTTTGCCAAATGTACATCCTTACATCAGTAGAAGCATACTATCACTATTATCCTTAATTAATATTCTACCTCCAAGCAATGTTGCACTTAAACTAATTCAGAAACATTTGTCTGACATTCTGACATTAGAGGCCCCAGGTAAAGCACTTCTGTGCTTCTCTTATAAAGATGTTTTTTGTGTCTAATCGTCTTTACAGTCTGTAATTTCATCCTTATATTTCTCATTTCTGCTTCAATTTAAGCTTCTGTAGTCATTATAGAAAAGCTATTTAGTATTTGTTAGATAGTTCCTAGCTGCTGCTGGATAAATATAGTAGGATAAAGAAGTGGTCATGATTTTCTGACTCAACTCAGGAGCCTACTGTGGTTGTTGCCTGACTCTCTAGAAAGCCATGTTGCAATCACCGCCGGGCGCGGTGGCTCACACCTGTAATCCCAGCACTTTGGGAGGCCGAGGCGGGCAGATCACAAGATCAGGAGATCGAGACCATCCTGGCTAACACGGTGAAACCCCGTCTCTACTAAAAATACAAAAAAATTAGCCCGGCATGGTGGTGGGCGCCTGTAGTCCCAGCTACTCGGGAGGCTGAGGCAGGAGAATGGCGTGAACCCAAGAGGTGGAGCTTGCAGTGAGCCGAGATCGCACCACTGCACTCCAACCTGGGTGACAGAGCGAGACTCGGTCTCAAAAAAAAAAAAGAAAAAGAAAGCTGTGTTGCAATGTTCAAAATGTCCATCCACAACATAGCAAATATAGGGCATGATATTGCTATTATTTCCCGTTTCATCCACACATCAAATTCATAAAAAATTGTTTCTAATTACACAAACCTTTAAATATCAACATCAAAATCTACAGCACCAGTGCACCCACTGTGGGTTGCTCATCACCATGAGATGTTCACTGGAAGCCATTCGTGTTTAGTTTATATTCTTCTCATCACTGTATATGGCAAAATTCTGGACATAAGATTCAATGTTGTGAAACATGCCTCTAAGCGAGTCACATCCAGAAATGTCTCAGTCCCCTCAAAGTCCTGTCAGTCACAGGAAACAGGAATCCACTTAAAGTAAAAAGAGGGGAAGAGGTTACTGCAGGGATAGAGGCAGAAATTGGTAAGCCAAACACAACCAAGCCCTGCAGGAGAAGAACTAGAGTGGTGGGAGCTGGGCCTCTTCACCTGTCATCTCAGGATCACAGGTCAGTCCAGCCTCTGTCTGCTGGAGCTTGTGCGGCTGGTTCGCCCTCCATCTACGTGAGCATCTCCTTGTTTCCTCTTTACTTATCTGGTCCATTCTTCTCTCTTTGAAGACCCATCAGTTCATAAGTGGCCCATCATGGCCATGTCCCCATTCCACATCATAATCTGTGTCAAGTACCACTGTTAACTAAATCAGTCTCAGCAGTTCAACTCCCAATTCTAGTTGGTCCAGGCTGGTCAGGTGACCTCCTGCCCCCTCCCCCAGTACACTCAACTGTTAGAGGATTTATGTTTGGAAGAAACTGTAGGTGGGAGAAGTTCTCAGAGAAGGGAGTTACAGGGAACAGGTAACCCCAAACAACCTCCTGGGGAATTGCCTCCTTTGTAGGACTGTCTCTTCCCCAGTAACAGTTTTAGGGGCCGTTATATAGTATGATGGAAAAATAAAATTCTGCCAACATATTTAAAGAGGTTTATTCTAAGTCAATATGAGTGACTACGACCCAGGGAAACGCAGTCTCCAGAGGTCCAGAGAAAGTGCACTCAAAGCAGTCAGGTTGCAGTTTGGTTTTATGCATTTCAGGAAGACAAGAATTACAGGTAAAATCATAAATCAATACAAGAAGATAAACATTGGTTTGGCCCCAAAAGGCAGGACATCTCAAAGCAGAGACTTACCAGTCATAGGTGGGGCTGGGGATTCTGTGGTTGGCAATTGAAAGAGTTAAGTTTTGTCTGAAAACTTGGAGTCAGTAGAAAGGAATGTTTAAGTTAAAATAAGGGAGTCTGCTGTTTGTCATGTGATGCCATGCCAGAGTCGGGATGAAAAGAAAACCACCATACACTGGGTCAAAAAGGCGTGTTTCAAATTAGCCAGGTGTGGTGGTGTGTGCCTTTAATCCCAGCTACTCAGGAGGCTGAGGTGAGAGAATTGCTTGAACGCAGGAGGCAGAGGTTGCAATGAACTGAGATTGCGCCATTGCACTCCAGCCTGGGTGACAGAATGAGATTCTTTCTTAAAAAAAAAAAAAAAAAGACCTGTTTCATGAGATTGGCTATGGCTTGTTTTGGAAGTGACTTTCCCTAGGTCCCTTAGGATAGGATTTGAGCATGGAAAAAGGTCAGAGTTCAGTCCTCAGGTATGTCAGTTAGGATTAAGTTGAGCTTCATGTTGCAGACAACCCAAACTAACGGGGTTTAAATAGTTGAGGGTTTATTTTCTGTCATATAAAGAAAGTAGACAGGGAATCTGGGGCTATGAATGTTTGTTCCATGGTCATTAAGAATCCAGTCTCCTTCTGTCTTTCTGCTCTGCCGTCCCAAACACTGGCTTTTTCTCCAGGTCCCCTCATGGTCCAAGACAGCTGATGGTGGTCAAGTCATCACATCTACAAAGTGCTGGGATTACAGGTGTGAGCCACTCCACCTAGACATCACTCTTGACGTTAGAATCTCTTCTAAGGAGACTTCTTAGAGGTTTCAACCAAAATCTTCTGCTTCTGCCTCTTTGGCCAGAATTTAGGCAGATGGGACACTAGTTGCAAAGGAGGTTGGAAGTACAGTCTTTAGCTGCACATATTGCCACCATAAACAAAATCGGGTTCTTTTACAAGGGGGGAATTAAGTAGACAGCAGTGTCTGCCACATGAGACTTCCAATTAACATAAGACGTCTCTCTAATAAATCATGTAGTGACACCCTCTAGAAACATAGTTCTCGGCACTATGTAATTCTTTAATATTCTTTGCCTTCCTTAAGTTTTCTCTTGTGTATATATATGTTTACATTAGTATAGATATGAATATATATATTCACCACACTCACACATACACACACCCTTTGTAAATCTACATGCCTACAACATTTTCTTACTAGTTTTAACCTCATTGGTTTAACCTCACACATTTTGCATTAAAATATATTGACTCAGTCTTCTCAAGGATATAATTTTCTGCTTGTTCCTTCAATTTGCTATTCATTTGGAAAATAGAGATAAAGTAGATTTTAAAATTGCAACAGAAAGGGAAGCTGTCATTTTTAAACCTTGTATCATCAAAGCCTGACTTTGAAATTTCAGATTGAATATTAAGCTGTCTAGAGCAGTGATTCCTTATCCTGTCCACACTCTAGAATAAAATTTGGAGCTTTAAAAAAATATTTATGCCTTCCATCTCAGTTGAATCAGATTATTTTAATGTGCAGCCAGTTTGGAAACCACTGGTCTAGAGTTAGAGAAATAACCCCGGCTGGGCACAGTGGCTCACGTCTGTAATCCCAGCACTTTAGGAGGCTAAGGCAGGTGGATAACTTGAGGTCAGGAGTTCTAGACCACCCTGGCCAACATGGTGAAACCCCATCTCTACTAAAAACGCAAAAATTAGCCAGGCATAGTGGCACGTGCCTGTCATCCCAGCTACTCAGGTGGCTGAGGCAGAAGAATCATTTGAACGTAGGAGGCAGAGGTTGCAGTGAACTGAGATTATGCCACTGCACTCCAGCCTGGGTGACAGAGCAAGATTCTGTCTCAAAAAGAGATAAAAAAGAAAAAGAAAGAAATAACCCTGAGTTGCAACTCTTCCCCACTCCCTACCACCCACCCGCTACACCCAGGAAAACACCATAATTAACATTTAAAAGTGAGATAAATGTCAGACAAAAGTCAGAATGTACTAGGAAAGCCTATGCTTTGGGGCCAAGTGTTTCTTTAGGGCAGCGGTTCTCAGTCCTGGATGACTGAGAATCACCTGGGGCCTTGTGGTAGGCAGACCCGCCACATCAGCATCACCTGGAAGCTTGGTTGGAATGCAGACTCCCAGGCCCCACCCCACACCTGCCGAATCAGAAACTCTAGGGATGGGGGCCAGAAACCTATGTTTTAACAGGCCCTCCAGAGGATTCTGAGGCCCAGTAAAGTTTGAGAATGACTGACCTACATTTGAAAAGATAATAATAACTGTCTGAATTCCATTGCAGGTAAATTAACTGAGCAGGTGCCTAAATCAGCAAGGTTCATTTGTCTTTTACAGTCTCCAGGTGATTCAAATGTGCAACCAGCACAGTGACTGCTGCTAAAACCATAGCAGATTTACTCAGAACTAGTTTTCCAAGTCAGTGATGCACTGGCAAATGTTTAATGACTGACAGGGGAGAGAAAGCCCTGATTTTTAGCATTTGCGCCAATTTCAAGCTACTAAGAGAAAGTCATCGAATGGGTGGTTGAAATGAGATGTGCACTATCTGTTCTTCAAAGCCAGTGAACTGGCTCCAGCACACACTGCCAGAAATTGTC